AGCCTTGTCCATTTCCTAGAAGTCAACCAGAGATTTTGTTTGCCTTCCAATTTAGTTCTTCCAGTTTTTACAACCGCAAGAATGGCAGACTCTGACGGTGAATATGTCGAAGATCTTTCAGATGATGATATTGGAGCACCCGCCAACGTAAATGCTGGACATGGCACTCGATCTACTGGAGCTGCCACAGGCGCTGGAGGGTCAACTGCTAAAGAAAAAGCTACAAATGGCGGTGGTAATAGGCGGAAAGCTGCATGGGAAGATATCCAAAGAAGTTGGGATACTGTAGTCGAAGGAGCAGATGGTAGTATTAATTCTACTGTTGAGGGGTTGAGGGAAGCTAACAAAAGGAAGAGGTAAGAGGAGCTCTCCTTTTGGAAATGTTTCGCAAGATGGAAATGTGCTGATAATTCACCATTCCAGATTATTGAGAGATACGACGCCCTTGCAGCGAGGTATTATTCGCCACTTCATTCTCATCCTTGACCTCTCCTTCGCCATGACGGAAAAAGACATGCGCCCCACGCGTTACCTTCTCACCATCCGTTACGCAAGCGAATTCGTTACCGAATACTTCGAACAGAACCCCATCTCACAACTCGGGATTATTGGCATGCGCGATGGTATTGCAGTGCGTATTTCAGACATGAGTGGAAATCCTACCGAACATATTGAACGATTGAAAGCTCTCCGCGTAGACCAAGGTCAAGGAAATCCCAGTTTACAAAATGCTTTGGAGATGAGTAGAGCTGCACTATTTCACGCTCCAAGTCATGGTACGAGGGAGATACTTATTATATACGGTGCGCTACTTTCAAGTGATCCAGGCGATATCCATGAAACGATTTCTTCGCTCATAACGGATCGCATACGAGTTAGTATTGTAGGACTTGCAGCCCAAGTTGCCATTTGCGCCGAAATATGCTCGCGCACTAATGCTGGGGATGATACAGCCTATTCTGTTGCATTGAATGAAGAACATTTCCGGCAGTTGATGATGGCAACTACAACGCCCCCAGTCACGCGTACAAAAAAACAATCACAGAGTAGTTTACTCATGATGGGTTTCCCATCTCGAACACTCGACCCAGGAAAGAGCATGAGTTTTTGCGCATGTCATGGGAAGTTAAGTAGAGGAGGCTATCTATGCTCTCGTTGTGAAAGTAAAGTGTGCTCACTGCCAGCGGAATGCCCGGCATGCGGCCTTACGCTTATCCTGTCCACCCATTTGGCCCGCTCATATCATCATTTATTCCCCTTGCGCAATTGGGTTGAAGTTCTTTGGAAAGATGCCGGAAAATCTAAAGGGTGCTATGGGTGCCAAGCAACCTTTCCGCAAAGGGACACACATGAGAAAGGTGCCTCCAACCAAGCAATGAAGGGAATGAGTGAGAGTGGGAGGTATGCGTGTGAGGTTTGTGGTAATCACTTTTGTATCGATTGTGATGTCTTTGCACATGAGGTAGTGCATAATTGCCCCGGCTGTCAGAGTGACACAAGGAGCTTGATTAGCGGTGTTGATGGGAGAGGCGGGGGAGCTCCAGCGAGGAGTGTGGAGAAGGATATAGATGTTATGGTTGAATGATCAGCATCTAGTCTAACAGTTCTAATGCACGCGCAAATGGGGAAAATAAAATTGGCGTCAGGGCAAAAGCACAGGTGATTGGGATAAAATTTATGGCCTAATAATTCGCTCAACCATTACGAAAGGGAGTTGATGAAAAAAAAAAATACTAGCGGAAATTAGAGGCGAGGCGAGGCGGACCGGGGCGTTTAGGGGATTGGATGATATTTGGATAACGCAGTAGACTGCTAATTAGCTTGGCAGATATTTCCCTAGGGACATGTATACACAAGTAGAAAATAAGCAGAATATGCTGTAAATAGTAAGCAAAGAAAGTTGAAATGGCGAGGCTAGCAAAGCTGCGAATAACAAATCTCCTACTAGTAGCCGCTCTCCTTTCACATCGAGGCATCAAATCTATGCATGAAAATTATTTGATTTTTAAATTCGAATAGCATTGACATGTTTTATACACGCATGTTCACGATTTCTCCGGTTCACTTCTCATAAAGTAGTCGATCGTTGTATTTTGTAGCAGTATGTAATATAGAGTGATCAAATGGTTCTTCAAAGCACGCTCAAGCAAATTGCAAAACATTGTGATGATACCATTAAAGCCATGGTTTCATAGCAGCCATCGCATCCTCGCCTCTCATCTCTCAGACCTAAAAGTCGTCCCCACCACCAAAATCATCTCCTCCGCCACCGTTATCTGCGCCATCCTCGTATCCTTCATTGTATTCATTTTGATCATGATCTTGGATTCTGTGTGAAGCCAGTTAGTATTTCGTTTCAGAAGTTCCAGTGGAAGAATGTATCCAAACTTACGCATCCTCAAGCAACATTCCACCAATCAATCCTCCACCCAATCCTAATGCCGCACCTCCGGCCATTCCCATGCCCCCGCCGCTCTTCTGTGGCCTCTGCTGTTGATAACCCCCTCCATAACCACCTCCATACCCTTGCTGTGGGGGGTAGCCCTGAGGTGGATAACCTTGTGGGGGGTAGCCTTGCTGTGGATATTGTTGCTGTTGATATCCACCATACTGTGGTTGTTGTTGTTGTTGCGCATACTGCTGTTGATACTGTTGCTGCGGCGCACCGGAGCTCGAGCTCGAACCACCGGTCTTTCCTAAAAGTTTTCCAAAGAAACCCTTTTTCTGTTCGCGCGGAGGAAGCTCTTGTTGGGAGTAGGCAGGCATAGGAGTGTTTTGATAGTCTTGCTGGGCGCTGCCGCGTGCACCGCTGCTTGAACCTCCACGAGCATCTTCTTCGGCTTGCAAACGACGGGCAAGTTCGGCGTCGCTTTCGGTGTTGGGAGAGGGGTCGTAGGGATTGCTTTTGTTGTCGGAGGGATAGGTAGAAGAGCCACCGGAATATCCGGGGGGTGGGCCGGGAGGAGCGCTATCACCGGAAGGATAGACGGGTTCGGTGGGTTTGTCCCAGGTAGACTTCTTGGTGTAAATGTTTACGTAGAACCTAGTTTCTTATCAGCTTCCATAGTGTGGTTGAAGAAGATGAAATCTATACACACCATTCTTTGTAGTCGGCGTTCCATACTGCTTTGTATCCTTCAGGAACTTTCGGAGGTGGAGGACCGGTAGGAGGGGCAAAATCATTCATCTTAAAGTTGGTGCTTCCTTTTGAGTCTTGTTGTTGTAAGATAGACAGGTGTTTTGGAAAAACAAGATGGTTAAATTCCGTGAGAAGTATTTGAATGAAATATAGGTGTTAAGATCTAAAAAGGTCCTTCTCGTATAAAAAGAAGGATAGTGAATGGCGAAACGAAGATGAAATCAGGGTGCCCACACAGCCACAGCAAGATAGCTTATGAGGGGTTTAGCGTATGCACACCTGGGCAAGTCCTGTGAATTGCCTAAGTCAGGGGGAGAACTTGGCTACAAACTCCAGTCTCAGCTAATTGTTGTGCACCAGTGATAAATTTGTAGAGCGCTTGAGATACCTAATAAGTAGATACTTCAAAAAGCTTTGTTTTGTTGAGTAGACACAATTACATTTCAAACTTTATAACTACAGTATTATGTTAGATGGATACTTTTGACTTCGCAGCGCAGCCACACTTGTTATCTTCTGACCCAATCCCAGACGTCATCCCCAAGCGAGCTAGTAACAATCTCCAGCCTGGGAGTAGTCGTACCCGCCACTCCCAATACTTAATCACTGCCAACCTTGTACTCAGCTTCACCACAACAACATCAAATAATATAGAACAAAATCAAACATGAAGTTTTCCGTCAGTCTTGTTACTCTGCTCTTCAGCAGCACTTTCGTCGCTGCAAGCCCTTTTTTCAGTAGTGGCCAAACCGTCCTTGACGATAAGGCAGCTGTTCCTGGAAACAACCCTCTTACCTACTGCAATCCCGATCATTCGTCTGATATCCTATCGCTCGACCACGTCAACTTGAATCCCAATCCTCCAACTGCGTACGCAAAACTGTAGAATCTTGGGACTTGATATCAGAGGCTAATTAGACAACAGTGGAAATAAACTTACCATCGAGGCGGTGGGCACCTTGTCGCAGACGTTGGAGAAGGGTGCATACGTTCGCTTGCAAGTCAAATATGGCTTGATTCGACTTATCAGTATGACAGAGGATCTATGCGATCAAGTATCAAACGTCGATTTGAGTTGCCCAATTGATGCTGGAAAGATTACAATCACAAAGGATGTTGATTTGCCAAACCAGATTCCTCCGGTAAGTCTTCAAGTTGCACCCTATTTCATTTTTCTTCTAACTCGTCACATCAGGGTACTTACACCGTCTTCGCCGATGCATTTACTGCGAATGATGAACCTATTATTTGTTTACAAGCAACGATTACGTTTTCACGTTAGACAAATCCGATACTAGATAATAGCTACATAATACCGTCAGATTGTACTTAGGATTTTGCGAAGAGCAGAGATTTGCATGGGGACTGTATTAGGTCGATGAATAATGGTGGATGAAGGAGTTTACTTTCTGGGAATCCCTCGCCCTGTACCTTGAAGGATACCTCTGATCACGGGGTTTTTATTTGCTTTTGGGTGCGCGGTTCTCATGAGAACTGAATATACGAGAATTAACGAATTGGATTAATATGGAAACCTCTATTTTGATGTCCTATTCCACCATTTCATTACATGCCAGTCATATGACATTGTAAATGCTTGAGTTCTGATGGCTTGTTGGGCCTATGAAGTTATTCAATGCTATGATTAGTTGATTCTGAGCCTAAGTTGTGTAAATTTCAAAAAAGCACAAGGGAATGCATGTGCAAAATTTCATAAACACTAGCATACTCTTGTATTCATTTGTTTGATATCAAACCACATGAAGGTGTTAATCTCGAAAACGCCCAACTCTCTAGCCATATAAACACACAACCCTACCCATAACAAACAATCTCCTCCTAAAGCTACCACGACCGACCCTCACTCTCCAAAGAGTCTTCGAACTCTTCTTAGAACACTATCCTTCTCCGGATCGTATGGGTGATCTTTACTAGGTATCTCCAACAATGCAGGGAATGCGGCTGTGTATGTATCGACTCGGTGGCGTATACGTTCCGCAATCTAGAAACCTTCTGTTAGTCTTGAATGCCCTATAGCTAATTGCAACAACTATCTTACATGTTGGTTGATCAACAAAATACCAATATCCTTTCTCTCAGTTGTGAATCTCTCAAAGGCTTCCTCAATTGCAGCATTATCCGTCTTGTTATCGACAACGAGGAAGTTCTTCTGCGAGTCTGGTGGTGAGGTGACATGCTATGCCTTCATCAGTAATCTCTTTCTCAGGCGATAACTCCGCAGAGTAGAACAATATATCTCATACACCAATGCCTGCCAACAACAGTCCAGTTACGGAGTCCTACAAGCCTGGTTAGCCATGGTCACGACAGCTTGGATCGATATGAAGCTCACCTCATCCCCAATAACGGCAAGGAATTGCCTATCTTTGTAGGCAGATGCTGGAGCTGCCATATTGTCTATGATTTTTTGATACACTTCTCCAAACAATCAATCCAGTGGCAGCGTCAAGCAAGGTGAGCTCTCAGGCCCCACTAAAGTTATGCGCTAGCGTACAGCACCCCTGGCTGCAGCTACCATGACCCACGTCCAAAATATAAATCATTCCCCCAGAACGCCTCTGTAGTAAACAACAGGAACGGAAATCGCCAGGAAGCAAATTCGATTGCAATAACTCGTCGAATTTACGATTGTCGCTCCTTTTGCTGACGTTCAATGATGTGAAGATTATATCGACATCTTTTTCATCATGCCGCGACTTGTGCGCCGAAGACCGCTTCGTGAACGGATTACAGATTGGTTTAATATTCAGGATTGGTTATTATGGATATCGGAGGAAATCGAAACAAGGGATTGGGATTCGAAAGCATATGCTAATCCACTGGGTTTTGGATTACATTTTACACTATTAATTGCGAGGGCAAATAGTGGAGATGGAGGTCATGGAAAGGGAGATGATGTATTTGGGGATTTGCCTTCAGGATCGGGATGGTTGAGCTATTTGGTAAGGGTTATTTATCATTGTGAATAGTTTTGTGTAGCTTGATACTAACTGATTGTATAGTCTACTCTAGTTGTCTATTTACTAACGACATTGTCGATCCTAAATGCATTCTCAACCTTCTCACGAAAGCGCAATTACCGCCTTTTCGAGAGCTCTATCGAAACCGCTCCCACTACCCCTTCTGCTCACAGAGTACGCGTAGACTCCTCGCCAGTATCTTCTTCTCCTCTTCGGTTCTTCTCGAATATGCTAGGTGATACAAGTGCGCAGTCAAGAGCGCATCCAGACCCAACTCGGGACGTTTGGGAGATCGCTGTTTGGGATCCTATACCAGTTTGCTTACGATTATTCTGCCTATTTAGTCCTGGACATGTACTGGTTTATTGGCTATTTCTTCCAACAATATCGTCAGATGCTCGACCAAGTGTTACAATTTTTACTACTCTGGTTTTAGAAGCCTTAATGACTGGGCAATTACTTCTTTTGGAAACAAATTTTTCGCAGCAAGAAAAGGACAACAGCATTATACAGAAAGAAGTCATGAGTGAATATGATGCCAAATTTGTACATCCCCGTTTGAATCCGGTCATGCGAGACGTTGGCACACAATTTTCTGGGCCGGGCGCTGAAGCTGGACGAGAGGAAGAAATTGAAATCTACACGCCGAGTGTGGTTCTCAAAAAAGGCTTTCGTACTAATCCAAACCCTAACTACGCTAAGTATGTTGATCCGGACAGTATTAGTCCTAACAAGCCCGTTTCCCGTCAAATTTTCTCTCCTGCTCCATCCTTTATTTCAGCTTCCTTTAACCAACAGCGAGATTCGCCTTACAACAGAAAGATACCAAACACAACCATGAGACAACCTCAGTTCCGTCAAACAACTCCTACTACCGCCACATCGACTGGGTCGGGGGATGGTGGTAGCTTGGGAATCTATAACCATGCCAATTCGCCTTTGAAAAAGACCAGCAGCATATTCGACATGCAGGGAAGAGATCGTAGAGATACACCTAAAAGCTCTCTAGATATGGCAGGGAGGGAAAGAAGAGATCAAAGGGATAACGAAGCAAGCCCAATGAAGAGAGTGCAGGGAGGCAACGATGTTCGACCATTGGGCAGGTTGCCATTTTCAAGCACTGAGAATGATAGAAGGACTAGTGGTTCAAGTGCCTTCGATCCAAGATCAAGGTCTGGGAACGTTGAGCATAGTCCATATAAAAGGGGTCCTTCCAGGTGGTAATTTTTTTCATAGCGGATTTTTCCATTCTTTTGAAGTCAATTGTACAATGCATTTTTAGGAGTCTAGCAGGTTCAGTAACATGGTGGCACGATCTATAGTAATGACAAATGCCATTACCAAACAGTATCTCTTTATACATGTGTATACTCTTAATCAATACTGGAATTGCGGTGACGGTCGTGTGTCGATTATTTTCACCGTCTCGCTTACTCCTGGTGGGGTTAAGGAAAGTGTGCTATAAGATCATTTCCATCTCAATCCAAGTTGAGATTTCTTTGTTTCATATCGGCCTGTGATCTTGCCTGCTTTCCTAAAGCTATGCATGTGCTTTGCCATTGGTTTTGATAACTTTCCTCTACGTCTATACGTTGATTTTCTCAGTCTGAGGTAAATGCTGAGTATAGTTCGAGGTTGAACCTTTTTTACGTTGGCTCAATAATACGTTTTGCTGCATTGAAACTAAGGTTTCGCGTTTGGAAAACATAATTCTTCATGGGGGTATTGGAGGAGACAGTCCCTCCCTTTAGTATGCGGTAATCAAAAAAGAGATCCGGTTCATTATTAGTACATGGTATCTCAGAAATATAGTCAATCGATAGATGAAATTAAGGATTCTGATTAGCCAAGCTAGCTAGCTATACCGATGTCAAAGTTCCATGCTATACAATATTCTGCCTGAAGAACGTGGTCTTTTCCGATGAGATAAATACTGCCTTAATACAATGAATATATACAGTCATAGAAAAAGTGCACGATTCGTATATAGTGGCCCTTTTCCATGGCCGGGGACTGTTAAGATCTATAGCATCAAACATAAGGTTTGGTGTTGACGTGCGCTAGTTCCTTTTCAATAAAAATTAGTTTACTTAGCGCCAGGGAAGGCCCTTATTAAGGCTGAACAGTAGATTGCTAGTATTGACTTTTAGATGGAAAGACTGTCCCGTTCTTGGTATAGGGCTTGGTTTGGTGCTGTCATTTCGATGCTTTTTGTTGTCGGTTTTGTATTTTCCCCTGTCGTAGTTAGATAGTCGCTGTTCCCAGAAACGGCACTTTGTGTACTGAGTTCTGATCTATAGCTCTATACCGACCTTTCAAGTATCGCCAAAACAGAGCATTTTGCAACTTCTCATTACTTCGGGCTCTCTATGATAAATGGTGATGGGCATCGGATTACAGTGACATGCTAAAGTTTATATATAGCACAAGCTGGTGAGGCAGGCTGTATCTTTATGGTGACTATACATTGAATTTGTGTGGTATCAAGAACATTGTCAACATATGCTCGCCCGCATTTTTCGATTTGTTTTTCATGTTGTAAGTAGAAATAATACCATACTACAGGTGGCACTAGCTATTTATAAGTCCATAGTACATCCTAATACAACTACTAAGGTAAGGTGATCTTTATTAGTACATGGACAAATTTGTGATTGATTTAGTGGAGAAGTCAGCATTATTGCTAAACTAAGCAGGAGCTATCCGAAGCATCCATCGACTAGCATCCAGATGACACATATACACGCCTTTTGTGGTCCATAGCACTGCTAGATCATGCCTAGAAGCTCACCAAAAACTTTGAAGGCTTTGAGAAACAAGACTAAAATTATCGAACTCCAGACTTCTCCGTTAGTGGTCTGGGGATCTGCCTCTATTACCATACAATTGACCACTAGCGGAGAGGTTTTCTTCATGACTTCATTGAAGAGCAGATGGTTGCTAGTAGAAGCCATCGCTGGCTTCATCTAATGTATACTCCCACTTTTACTCTATCTCTTGCTTTCTTTCTCTTTTCTCTCTTCGTCCTTCAGACGAAGTTAATACTATATAATTCTCGTTATCATACACATTGTTGACTGTTAAAACTCGTACTTGAACACTTTCAAATCAGTATCACAACTTTATCTCTTTACAATCAGTATTCCACTCGATTACTCAACTATATTTCATACTTTCAAGTTCCTTATTCAAACGCTATCCAACAACTTAAACATCATAAAACATTGATACCTTCATCATGGGCATCAACATGATCTATTACTACGGCTACTTTGTCACCGAGGATGTCTACAGCACTGCAATGGACGGTGCTAAAGACATCATACCTCGCCGACTTCGTCGCTCGAAACTTTTCAGAAGATCCAAGGAATCTAAATCAGCATCAACAGAAGAGCCTGAATTTTATAACCCCACTACATCAGAGGAAGAATGCTCAAAGTCATTCACCTCTGAAGACACCGCAGATACCGTCATCCATTACTCGTCGGAGGACAAGCAAAGCGAGCTTGAGCAATATGTTTCTTCTAATGATTCTAAAGAATCCACCGACACGATCATTCATGATGAGACGGTCAAAATCTCGCACCGTCAGAGGTGCAAGGAGAAGCTTCGAAAATGTCTGTCTTCAAAGACATTGAAAGCAAAATTCTCCAGCTATAACATTTCTTCGGATGAACGCATTGAATTAAAGGATGAGATTGTTTCGGACAATCACATCAACACAAATGATCACATCATTTCAGATAATCATGATGACTTGAACAATGATGTTCATTTGAACAGCATTATCAATACAGACAATGTCACTGTTACAGACAGTTCAGGAGCTTCAGGTAATATTTACCAAAAGAAGCAATGGTCTGTTTCGGATTATTCTCTTTCTATCTACTCGCAAGATGGTATCGATACCATCGTCGTACCTCCAAAGGAGAGGGAAATCAACAACTTAAAAGCAAAATTATTCAACCAAGAGTTGGAAAACAAGAAACTTCGCTCAAAGATCTCGCAACTTAGCATCGAGCGCATCTCAAATTCAGGCTCAACATCAGAGTCTGTTATCCATACCCCATTGGAGACAACCAAAGTCTCCGAGCTTAGCAGTGACACTCCTACCTCAAATTCAGGCTCAACATCAGAGTCTGTTATTCATACCCCATTGGAGACAACTAAAGTCTCCCACCGTCAAAGATACCGAGCCAAGATTCGTCGATGTCTTTCCTCCACTCAGGAATTCCTGGCACCTTTGAAGGCCTTGCATCCTAACAACCGGGCTGAAAAGGGCCACACCAAGCAACAAGCCAAAGAAGCCCTTGAAGCTTTGCAGAACGCTCCAATGTTCTTCGAATCAGTCCCATTTGAGTCCACTGAGGAGGGTGAAGCTCCAACCTTCTACTGCCCTCGTCATGGCACCTGCTCTTCTCATTTTGCTTGGTGTTTCTGCGATTATCATCCCAGCGCTGCCCATCGCCAAAGTGAAAGAGTCGAAGACTGGTTGCTGCCAGCTTGGCGTGCCATTGTTACAAAAGGCATAGAGGAAGATAGGGCTGAAAAGGCTAGGATAGAAGAGCAGGCTGGAATGGAAGAGCAAGCTAGCATGGAAGAGCATGCTAGCCTGGAAGAGCAAGCCAGCATGGAAGAGCAAGCCAGCATGGAAGAACAAGCCAGCATGGAAGAGCAAGCCAGCATGGAAGAACAAGCCAGCATGGAAGAACAGGCTAGAATGGAAGAGAAGATCAGAATGGAAGAAAAGGTCAGGATGGAGAAAAATGTCAAGAAGGAAGAGCAAGTTAGGAAGGAAGCGCAAGCTCTACCCATTAAAAAGCAGCCTGAACCTCAAAGATTTTCTGCTGACGACTATATTGATCTGATCAGCGACCTCACTGACGATTACCTTGGTTATTCACGCTCTAAATCACGCAGTCATAAGCGCAGCAAGAGTAAGAAAAGAGTTGAGAAAGCTGTGGAGGAAAAGATGGAGGAACTAGCTCTACCCATCCAAAAGCATCCTGAACCTCAAAGGCATTCTGCTGAAGAATATGTTGGTCCAGCCAGCGACCGGACTGACGATTATCTTGGTGTTACGGGCTACAACCCACGCACCGGAACGCTCGACAAGAGCAAGAGAAGTAAGAAGAACAAGGAACACCGCCGTGTTCGCTGGGCCAGCACTGAGAAGGGATGGGAGAGCAAAGCTGTAAGCTCTTCTAGCCCCTTAGCTGAATGCACCAAGGAGAATGAGAAGATCGAGGTGCCTTTTTTAGCTTAGACGCCGGTACGCGTGGTGACGTCCACTACCACGTGCACCATCACTACTGGCGCAAGAAGGGGAAGAAAGAAAAGACGGAAAGAACAGTAAAAGAAAGGAGGAAAAGACGTAGGAGACATCGGAGCTCTTTTCATTAGGGAACACGAAAATTTTGTTCATTCGGGTTTGTTTTTTGTTTTTTGTTTTTTGTTTTGTTTTTCTCTCTTCTGGGTTTGTCCATTGTTTGATTCTTTTGTATTTTATTTTGCTGTGTCTTTTTTGGTCTTTCTGGCGTTGGGCATTGGGAGCTGTGGCGTTTTGGTATTTTGGCTTTTATGGAGTTTTTGTACGTATACAGTAGGATAATAATAGGAATGGAACGAAACGGAACGGGATCAGATCAGATCAGTATAAGAACAGGAAAGATCAGGATAGAATAGAATAGAAACTCCCCTTCAATGGAAGATTATCATAACTTTGGTGTCCCATTTGCAACTGTCTCCCAATGTACAGAAGGTGGTAGATCTGGTGGCACTAGTCACATATCAAGAACTGTAAACTATCATCGGAGAACGTGATTTCATGTCTTCACAATACGGATTAGTAAGTCTGGAGATTGTAGACACGGCGACTGAATTGGTTCTCCAGCCTTTTAGGATATCAGTGACACGTCGAGATCTAATGGAAATATGCGTCTTTGCCCCATTTCACTGTGGTTGGTCTCGGTAGTGAAGGTAAACATAAATAACACCCTAAACTCTTTTTCCCTGCTTTGGGAGCCAGCAATGCCATCTTACCGTGCATATTCTGCTCTAGATATGTGTTACCGTTTTAGAGATGAGCAAGACCACTAGCACTACCCTCTTCCTATCTCTCGTGTGAGCTTTCCATTACGTGAGGACGGTACGGGTCACCAATTTACTCCCAAGAGAGGAGTACTCGTTCTTCTTGATAAAACCACTCAATTTGGTCTTTAAGTCGCTGTTCCAGCCCTTTGCCATTGCATTGAGTTATTATCCTTGGTTGAGCATGTTCAACTTGAGCGGTCAGACAGTAGTCTCTAATGTCCATAGTACATATTCAAGTATGTAAATTCATGTTCTGGATGATTCGACGCAAGGTGGATTCGATATTCAATGCTAAGTTTGAGATCTGAGATGAATTAAATGTCCTAGATGAGTTCGGTGCACATGATGTCTATGGAAGAAATGGTGACAGATGATTCGTTTCTCGCATAAGTAGAGAACACAAGACCACATCGATACCTGCTTTATGTTTTTTTTAAATCAATATAGTTTGCGGCTGTGTGCCTCAAATCGCTTCCATCGTTATTCCTCCAACCCAATGGTTGGTGCACATGTGGAATCTGGATAGAGCAAACCACAATTTGGAGATGGAATTATTTGCTAACTCACTTTGAATCTTATAGACTGATGAAACCTCTCCCATGTATGTCTTGTTGAAGAATGAAATGAGTTTCCTTGATGATTGATGGGGGAACGGCGAAGTGTGGTTGTCTACTTAGGCTTAGTAACTGCCGTGGGTTCCATGAAATCACTTCAATTGCCACGAGAACACCTCTCAGGTACTACAGGCATATTTAACAAGGCGATATTTCATAAATAACAGATATACACAATATATATTAAATCCCGAATTAAGATTCGCAAAAACCAAACAGGTATACGAAGAGCCTGTTTCTCTCCTCGATGTATCGCAACGTGAACCAAGCTTAACAATTTAGCAAATCCTATACAATATTCTCGTATATCCAAGTTTCTGTACTCATTTCGTATCCAATACCGACGTCCAGCACCTAGTATCGTGGCTGTAGGAACCTGTATATGATGTACGTGGAATCTTATATTTCCAATGACGTTGTAATTTAAAAAGTAAACCTACAACCAAATGTAGAACCTGGTTTGTATTTCCGACTCTTTCACTGAGATTTCGGGTCTACAAAGCTCCACACGAGAAGCTTCATCATGAGTCTCTGTCCCTCGACTTTCATCTCATGTGTAAGCACTATTACGGTTAGTATATCTACAAGACCTGTAATCCACTTATATTCCTAAGCCTTGCTCCCCATACACCACCCCCTCTCCCTTCTTCAGCAATCTTTCCACTAACATCTCTCCTGTAACTTCCACGTTGACCAGCGAAATCAGTTCCACTGCTAACCTGTCGCCCGTCCCCGCCAACCATAACAGGTGGTGTTGCAGGCTTCAAATCTCCATAGTTCTTCGACTTGAAGCTATCGCCCGAGCCCGAATCACGTGTACGAAGGGGCTTAGGTGTTAGCTCGCGAATTTCGGGAGAACGCAGAGGTAGAGGCCAAGATGGCTCGTCGCTTATATCAGCACTTGGGCTGCCGATATGTTCATTGGCATCTGGATTGATTGCGGACGGGGCTTGGGAGGAATATTTGGATGACGAGGAGGGGAAATTGTGACGTGGGGTTGGAGGGTTTTCCATTAGCGGATTGGGCAGATGGAAATTGTCATCATAATCATCGGCCGCGGCGGGATCAAGCGGTAAGGGATGGTAGGAAGACTTGATGGAAGTGGATGATTTTTTGGGCGAGTGGGGTCGAGAGCCTGGTGCGCTACTGCGATCGCCCTTCTTCCCGAGAGAATCATTAGTGAACCAGCTTATTACGCCGCCTTCATTGCTAGCAGATTCTTCAGCTGTGTGGAAGGATAGATCAGAGGCGGGAATTGAAGTATACGACTGATGAGATGCGCGTTTTGGGGAAGATAAAATTGAGGGTGCTGCTTTGAATTCCGGAACTGAGTGACGGGGTGATTGATTGGGCTTGTAGGCATTATAGCGAGCCGGGGAATCTGTGCGAGATGTACGAGGTGAGGATTGATTAGTCTGGAATGATTCGTTGGAATTTGTCCGCGTGTGGAAGAAAGGTATTGTTGGAGGGCGATCGAGATCTTCATAAGCGGCTCCAGAACGCCGTTTGTCCTCAAGGTTGGAACCTCTTGACAGTCTTTTCTCAGATGGAGCTGTGATGGTGGTGAAAGTTGAAATGGATGATTTGTTACGTTTGTGGCGAGAAGTGAGATTATCTTCCAGAGGATTCATATCCGGAGGAAGTTGGTTAATTTTGCGGAATGTAACAGCGAGATATAGAGATATAGCAAGAGTAATCAAATGAAGCCCGCCTCCAACCGTGGCTGCGTAGAAAAGAATGTCGGTGAAGATTGTTAGAAGAGTCTTATCAGAAAGAGACGTAGTCCAAGTAGTTTGTTTCGTTTTAGCTGCGAGAGAAATATACGCATAAAATGGCACAATACTTATGTCAGTCAAAGATGCAAATACCATATATGAAGCTGAAGATCCGGGTGCTCTGCCGCCAGATCTTCGCGCTAAATGATATACCCCATAAATGGTGTGAATGATTGCTATAGCGGGCTGAGACATGTCAATCAGTCGGTAGTTGATATGACGCATTCTAGGGATAGCATACCGCAAGCTTCATGATCCACCCTGAAACCATATCCAAACCCGTGATCAAAATTGACATGATTAGAAGGCCGACTGCTGCCAAGAGTTGAAAACATCGCAATGCCAACGCGACTTTTCTAGTCCATTTGACTCTCTTCTTGACAGAAGGGTCCATTGGTTCAGAATCCCCATTTCCACAAGGAACAATGAGATAAGAACTGATGAAGCATATCAGTATAGATCATATTTATTTCCAAAGGCATACTCAAACGTACTCGGGATGTGCATTGAAGTTGACCAAAGGACCATCTGGTCGCTTTGGCCGTGGTGCCTTGGGTGATAAGCTCGCTCTGGAGACAGCTTTTGGATCAAAGGACCAATCTGTTTTGATTGGGTCATAAATGAAGGGAGGTTGGATACCCATTATACCTGACAATAATTAATGAAAGACAGAGTGAATATTGCAGGAATGAAGTCAGGAACGTGGATTTTGCAAAGAATGAATCAAGGGTATAACCTGCGATGATAATCCTGGAGATTAGAGCTTGGATCAACAAACTTAGATGCAAGCTTCGTTAACACAGCAACAAACGATAACTTTACGAAGCACAGCGTTATCGGACAATGCGATAAAGATTTCCGAAGGCTTTCAAATGACGTTTGAGAGCGAGAGAAGATGAATAGGATCGCGAGTCCTTGGATTTGCACAAGATGTGCGAACTTTTCACAGCAACGCATACGTGTGTTCACTCGATCAAGGGCGTTCACAAATTCTACCAGAAAACATACCGAGAAGCCCAGAGCTCACGATGGTAGACCATTTAGGATGGCTGTCGTTGGGTCAGGACCTGCTGGATTTTATACGTCCTATAAGGTTATGTCCAAGATTGAGAATTCAATCGTGGATATGTATGAGCATCTACCAGTACCTTTTGGTTTGGTGCGATTTGGCGTTGCTCCCGACCATCCCGAGGTGAAGGTAAATATCCATTAGCCAGATCCAGACCGAACGACGAGAAAATGTTGTGCTAATGCAAAACAGAATTGTCAAGACAAATTCAACGAAGTAGCTGAATCGCCAAACTTTAATTTCATTGGGAATATATCTATAGGAGATCATGCTGGAGCTTTACCTCTCGCTTCGTTATTGCCACATTACGATGCCATATTATATGCCTATGGCGCATCTCGAGATCGTACACTGAATATCCCGGGAGAAGACAATTTAAAGGGTATTTATTCGGCGCGGGCTTTTGTTGGATGGTACAATGGATTACCGGAATATGCGGATCTTGATCCAGATCTTACACAGGGCGATGAAGCAATAGTCATCGGACAAGGCAATGTAGCTTTAGATGTCGCAAGGATTCTTTTGCAGGACCCCGATATACTACGAACTACCGACATCACGGAGAGAGCTATTGAGACTTTGCAAAAAAGTCAAGTGAGAAGAGTGAGGGTAGTGGGGAGAAGAGGTCCTCTGCAGGTTTGTTTTATGGGGCGGAGTGGAGCGTGTTTATGCTAACGATTACAGGCTGCATTCACAATCAAAGAAATTCGTGAGCTGGCGAAACTAGATTCGGTTGCTTTTCATCCTATTGATAGATCGTTAACCCCAGAGGACATATCGAAATTACCTCGAGCTCCGAAGAGAATCATGGAAATCATAAAAAAGGGGTCAAGTGCTTCCTTAAAATCGGCAGCTAAATCATGGTCACTTGACTTCTGCCTCTCACCAAAATCGTTTAATCAAAGCCATCAGTCCCCCTCCCAGTTAGGTGGCATGTCATTCGAGAAAACTTTACTGAGTCCAGACCCTTTTGATCCTGCAGCTAAGGCAAATGGTACTGGAGAAATGATTGATCTTCCAGCCTCTCTAGCCTTCCGATCTATTGGATACAAGTCAGAAGCGTTGCCAGGATTCTCGGATCTGGATATACCATTTAATGATAGCCTGGGCATCATACCAAACGATCCGTTGGGTCGTGTAGTCAACGACAACAAAGGATGGTCAACTTCGGATTCGTCTAAGCATATTCCAGGAATGTATTGTGCTGGGTGGGTAAAACGAGGACCGACAGGTGTAATTGCAAGTACCATGCTAGATGCTTTCTCGACTGCAGATACGATAGCTGAAGATTGGTATGCGCATGCAGCATTTCTCAATGGTAATGCTGGTGGCTCTGGCCTTGGATGGGATGGAGTAAAATCCGAGGCCGACAATAGGGGTTGCCGAAGGGTCAGTTGGGAAGACTGGCAGAAAATTGATGCAGCCGAGCGAAGGAAAGGTAACAGCAATGGGAAGGAGCGAGAGAAATTTACAAGTGTGGAAGACATGCTTAAAGTCTTAGATTAAATCAAGAAATTCTAAAAACTAACGATATTGTACATTATTTCTTCAACTTCTCGGTGAGTTCTGGGACCTTGTCGAACAGATCTCCAACCAGCCCAACATCGGCGACTTGAAAAATCGGGGCATCAGCGTCTTTGTTGATTGCTGCAATGACCTTACTGTCCTTCATTCCTGCCAAATGTTGAATAGCACCAGAGATACCTGCACATAAGTACAATTGCGGTGCTACAACTTTTCCTGTTTGACCGACCTGTAAGCTGTTGTCGGCGTATCCACTATCTACAGCTGCTCTTGACGCTCCGATAGCTGCCCCCAAAGCATCCGCCAAAGGCAGCATTATTCTGTCAAACTCCTCCTTTGATTTCAAGCCTCGACCGCCAGATACGACTTTACCCGCAGTGGCGAGATCTGGTCTATCTGATTTTGCGAGATCTTCTGATACCCATTCGGTCTGCGATTCAATTTTAGGGTCCACACCCTCCTCAATTGATGCTGAGCCACCCTCCGCCGCTGCTGCTGCAAAAGCAGTTCCTCTGACGGTAATGATTTTGGTTTCGTCTGAAGATTCGACAGTGGCAATCGCATTACCAGCATATATTGGTCTGACGAAAGTGTTCTCATTTTCAATTCCTGTAATATCCGATACTTGTTGAACATCGAGTAGTGCGGCAACGCGGGGCATTAGATTCTTTCCAAAAGCTGTGTGTCCGGCAATGATGTGTGTAAAGCCACCCTTCTTAATATTTTCTACTAATAAAGGAGCATAGTTTTCTGGCAAACCCTATAGTAAAATCATCAAAATCTGCGGATCGGCGGAACCGGTCGTGAGCAAATAGGTCTCCTTACCTTGTCATATGCAGAATTGTCTACAGCAATGATCTTTTCAATTCCTGCAACTTTAGCTGCTTCTTCGGCTACAGATTTTATGTTGCTTCCCGCGATGAACGCCGTTATTGACCCTCCTAGCTTTTGTGCTGCGGTGACTGCTCCAAGTGATCCATGGTTAAGTTTACCTTCCCTTTGCTCCAGGACGGCGAGTGATGATAATAGTCTTGCGAGCGCCGAGAGGGAAGCTACTGGTGTAGGGCCAGGTTGTGTTCGTGATTGAGTCCGCGCTTGGCGTAAAATAGAGTGGCCGGCTCGTGAAAGCATTGTTATGAAATTGGGAGAAACAAAATTTGAAAGACTGAATTGTTGGTGAACTTCATCAATGAATTTCACTTAGTACTACGATAACCACCCACCATCGGAGGCGTGCGCTTCAAGCCGAGGGACATATTTTTTGTGCCTGATACTTGAAATCATAACCCGAGCCTTACTAATTTAAGGTGTAAACTTTTACTTTAGTTGGTTTGTCATCACGTGAATTATTTTAGTCTTGGCTTTTTGGTTTTTGGCTCCATCTTGAGCTTTAGAGTATAGCAAGCGAAACGCGACATTCCCTCCACGAAATCATCAACGCGAATCACAGCAACAGTGTTTGCGCCTCAATCCCTCAATCCCTCAATCGTTGATTACTACATAATTTTCTTTTGCATTAAGTCGTGCATCTAGTTTCTGACTGATTCGAAGCGCATGAGAATTCGAACATCATTTTGGAGATCTAGTACGACTCCCGTTGCGCCAAGTTTGGAAAGCGTTTACGAATAATTATTGCGATAATATCACCATTTCAAAATATAAGCAAATATGGAGGACAATTCATTGAACTTTGACTCACCTGCCCCAGGCAGTAATGCCATCCTCGAGCAACCACCACTTCCCGCAGAGTCTACTTCACCAAGTCAAGGGGCCACTGGACAAGCCCAAAGAACAGAAGGTATATATCATCACATGCTTGCATTACGCGTAAGTCCTAACGGATAATATCTACAGATACCCCAATGGGAGAAGCTGGTTCCGTCGATTCAACCAACAAGAAAGATTCAAGTGCGCCTGTCTCCGATAATCCGCTCGATGCGCCTGACGCACCTCGCCCAGAAGCAGATGAACCCAAGGACGAGGTAATGGTGGATTCCCAAGCCCAAGATGAAGTAAAAGAGAGCAAAGAGGGTGATGGGGAAAGTGGAGCTACAAATGGACAGGTCGAGAAAACAAAAGCTTCAATCGAAGCATCAGCAAGGGAACATCTTATTTCACAAACACATTCGACTATAATACCAAGTTATAGTAGTTGGTTCGACATGCATGCTATTGCACCCGTCGAGAAGAAATCTTTACCGGAATTCTTCAACAACCGCAATCGCAGCAAGACCCCATCTGTTTACAAGGATTATAGGGACTTCATGATCAATACCTACCGATTGAACCCAATAGAATACTTGACGGTGACAGCATGCCGGAGGAACTTGGCTGGTGATGTTTGCGCCATTATGCGTGTTCATGCATTTCTCGAGCAATGGGGCTTGATCAATTATCAGGTATGACAATTCTTACCCATTGAAAAGTCCATCTGCTAATCAGTCTAGGTCGACGCACAACAACGACCTTCGCAAGTTGGTCCCCCTTTTACTGGCCACTTTAAAGTGATATGTGATACTCCTCGTGGCCTGCAGCCGTGGCAGCCTTCTGCCGATCCAATCGTTCTTCAGGGCAAAAAGAATGAAGATACAGAGGCCAAGGCAGTTGCAGAACCAGCTCCCAAGTCAGATTTAAATTTACAGATAGGACGCAACATCTACGATGCTACTGCCAAGGAAAACAAGTTGAATGCGGACTCCAAAAAGCAAACAAATGGCGAAGGTGCGAGCACCAATGGCACTTCAGACATTGTTCAGAAGTCCATCGAAGATATTATGAAGGCACCAATAACTAAAATTCTCTGTCATGTTTGCGGTATTGACTGCACTCGTGTTTATTACCATCACATGTCTCCGGCCGACCCAACAGCTCCTGGAACCACCAAAGGTAAATCAGACATTTGCTCGAATTGTTTTATGGAAAGTCGATACCCTCACAACCACGGTCGAATACAGTATCAAAAGATGGAGAATCCAACATACACGGCCGCTCCTGAAATTGCTCGTGACTGGAGTGATGCCGAGGTTCTTAGACTTTTGGAGGCATTGGAA